ATATATATATATATATATATATATATATATATATATATATATATACATATATATATATATATATATATATATACATATATATATATATATATATATATATATATATATATATATATATATTAATTTATTTTTTGCTTATAACTTAGCACTAAATAAGAAATAACAATTCATCGTAGTCGGTACCCTAAAAAAATATTTATCAGCAGATTTCCTGAATTTCCTAGCAAAATTCTCTACCGATATCTCTTTATGGTCTTCATTTGACTGAATTCAATTGGACCAATGAGCGGAAGCCCCGGAAAAATCATATATTAATACATATACTATATATATCTATATATATATATACATAATACATAATACACAAATATATATATATATATATATATATATATATATATATATATATATATATATATATATAAATTATATTAATTTTGTATTAAATTAAACAAATGTAAATGATCTATGAATCTGATTGTAATGTTGTTTTTGTTTTTTTGTTCTACCTTTCTTGTTTGTACTTTAACTTGGAAACCCTTTCTCCAGGGCATGGTCACCGTCATTTATTAACCAGGTGATTTTCGCCAAGCACTTGTTCGTGCTCAACTTATCCTGAACAATTATGATTGTGAGTGCCTAATAACATCGCCTGAGAAGTGTTAGGAGAATATTTCTTCAGACAAAACTATCTTAAAGACAATATTGTATCACTCATACTCCAAATTATTCACAAAATATTATATTATTAATATATGAGTGGCCGCAAATCAAAGATGGCCATCTACAATGTTTAAAAAGTTGAGTAAAAGTCTTCTTTTTTTTTTTTTTTTTTTTTACTCATAGCTTCAATTTGAACTAATTTTTATGATTTTTTTTCATCATCCAACATTCCTAAATAAATCATCAGAAACAGTTTGAAATGAACGTATGAAACAAAGATTGAATTTTTCTCAACTATTTGAAAATGACATATGCTAAGCCATTGACCACTATATTTATTAATAATGCATTATAAAACATAATACATAACATAACATTTATTTAATCTAGTTACTTTTTTTTGTATCACTAAAATTGGTTACCTATAAAACATATTTAGCTTTTCTTTCCAATTTTATTTAGTTATAAGTATGTTATTGTGTTTTGTACCAATATTATAATATTTTAGATAGATAGATAGATAGATAGATAGAAAAAAAAACTTTATTCTGGGACTAAGTCCCTTCAGAATAACAATAATGTACAAAATAATAGAATATTACTGGCCTGAATGTTGAAACAATAAATAAAATTGATAAAATAAAATAAAAAGTAAAGAAAACCTTAGGTGCACAAGCTATATACAATACAGATAAAACTATGTACAGAGCATTTAAAATTATGAACAAAACAATTAAAACAATGAACGAATCACTTGAACTATGAACAAAATTATATTTAAGGGTTGAACAACATAAACATACACTTTGAGAAATGAAGAACGAAAAAGAGATACAATGAGTTCATTTCATAAAAAACAAAACAAAAAAAAAAAAAAAAACTTTACTTGAATATATATATATATAAAAATAAACAGTTACTTATAATTGAATAAAAAAAAATGTATGTATTGAAATTCCTACGTCGATAGTAGGAAATGCATGTACTATCTCTTACCAAGTGTTATGATTATATGATTGCTACACAATACATATATAATATTAATCGTTAGCTGGTATCAGACTGTTTTTGGAACAGGAATTGGAATAGGAGGTTTTTGAATGTATATAGGGAAGGGGCATGTCGAATTTTGATCGGGAGGGAATTCCAAAAGTTGACAGAGCGGGCTATAAAGGAATTTTGGAATGAGGCAGATCTATGAGAAGGGATGTATAGGTCAGAGGGTCGGGATCTTGTAGTGAGTGAATGGATTGAGGACTTAAATTGGAGAAGGTTGTAGGCATAAGAAGGACGATGATCGGTAATGATTTGATAAAGGAAAGTGCCAAGGAAATATTGTCTTCTTAAGGAGGGGAAGAGCCACCCTAACTCAGTGTAGTGGTGGGAGACACGGGAGCGTCTCGGGGTTCCAATTACAAATCTTACGAAGCAATTCATAAGTCTTTTGAGTCTATCACGCAGTTCCACCGAGAGGCCATCGTACACCACACAGCTGTAGTCAAAGTGGGGAAAGATGAGAGAGGAAACTAGGAGTCTACGGGTATTTTGGGGTAGAAGATGGCGGAAGTGATGGAATAGTTTGAGGGTAGAAATTGCACGGCGGGATATATGAGAGATATGGTGATTCCAGGAAAGGGTTTGATCTATGAGAAAGCCTAAATTTTTAACAAAGGGATAGAAGGTGATGGGGTGGTTGTTTAGATAGAGTGAGGGAAAGTTGGTGTGGGATCTAAGAAGGGGCTTGGAACCAATGAGAATGGCCTGAGTTTTGGCAGCATTTAGCCGTAATCCATTTAAGTTGGCCCAGGCACTAATTCGATCTAAATCTTCTTGAATTTTGGCAAATGCCACCAATAACTCAGCGGGAGAAAAGGATAAATAGATTTGAGAATCGTCGGCATATAGGTGGTGGGAACAATGGATAATTGAATCATTTAGGTCATTAATATAAGAACTGAAAAGAAGAGGAGACATGCTTGAACCCTGTGCAACTCCTGAGGATAAAGGAAGGTAGGCAGATAGAGGTTGATTAGGTATGGAAACTGCTTGGGTTCGTTGTGAGAGGAAAGACTGGAACCAAGAGATGGAACTATTGGAGAAGGATAATGATTTTAGTTTGTTGAAAAGGATGGAATGGATAATGGAATCGAAAGCTTTGGAGAAATCAAGCAGTATAAGTATGGTTAGTTTTTTGTCATCTATTGCAGTCTGGATATCACTAGTAATTTTAATCAGAGCAGATTGTGTAGAGTAGCCAGGACGGAAGCCAGATTGGAGAGGATCGAGTTGGTTGGATTGTTCAAGGTAGTTGGAAACTTGGGATTGCACTAACTTTTCTAGGGGTTTAGAAAGATTGGAAAGGATTGATATTGGGCGGAAATCTTCGGGAGAGGATGGGTTAGGCTTTTTGTTTAAAGGAAGGACAATGGCTTTTTTCCAAGATGTCGGGAATATTGAATTCTGCAGGGAGAAATTGTAGATGAAAAGGAGTGCTGGGAGGATTTCAGGGAGACATAATTTTATTAGTTTGATAGGAATGCCATCTGGGCCTACGGAATTGGAACGGGATTTCATTATAACGGTAATAAGGTCTGTGGGAGAAATGTCGGAAAAATAAAAATTATTGTCGTTAAAAGGTACCTCTGGAGAAAAGCCAGAAGGGGATGGTAAAGAAGAGGTGGAAACCGATATAAAGTGGGAGTTTAGGTCATCAGGTGATATTGGGAAAACTGAGGAAGGGGATCTAGAAGGTTCACAGAGGGAAAGCTTACGAAGTAGAAGCCATTTTGATTTGATATCAGGAGCTGAGGAAAGGGCTTCGTGAAAGTAGTTCGCTTTCGCTTGTCGGATCCTTAACTGTGTCATGTTACGAAGCACTCTGAATATTTTATAATCATCTGCAAGCCTAGTCCGTCTGAAGCGTCTGCGTGCAGCGTCGCGTCTCTTCTGCAGATCCTTAATTTCCTGACACATCCAAGGAGCAGGACGATGACGGAAAGTGGAGGTTTTGAGAGGAGCGTGGGTATTGAGTATATTGAGAAGATTGGTGGTGAGAATATCAACCATGGTGTCGACAGAGGAGCAATGATATATTCCATTCAAATCCAATGTTACTAGATCAGGTAATATTTTTTCTCGAGTAAGGGTATCCAGTTGGCGGAAAGTGATAGTTCGAGGATGGATTGGAGGAGTGCGGATATTATACGTTATTTGTATCAGATCATGAGATGAAAGAAAGGATACTGGCAATTGAGAGGCGGAGAGGAGGTTTTGTGCTGAGTCGATGATGTAGTAGTCTAGCCAAGTGTCAGATCTGCTGGTGTGGTGGGTGGAGGAAAAAGGAACGATGAATAGGTGAAGTGAGAAAAACAGATTTTCTAAATAGGATTTGTCATTGGATTTTGAGAGGAAATTGGTATTGAGGTCACCGGAGATAATTATTCTGGGATAGAGGGGAACGAAGTTGAATAGAGTTGATTCGAAGGACGGGTCAAATGGCACGAGAGGAGGGCGATATACCACGGCGTAAAGGTTTGGTATTTTTGGTATGGTATGCTCACATACTATGCTACACCATCTGGGCTTAAGCTTATTTAGCAAAACCTTTTTTATCAACAAGATAATGATAAAAAATATATGATATTTCCGGATGGGAGGTGTAAGAGATGAAAATTTCTGATTAGAAAATAATCAGGGAAATGCAGACTACTAGTTAATAATGAAATTTAAGCAACATCAGTTTAACATTTCATTTTTAAAATTAATTAATCATTTAAAACAGACTTTATTGTAAATCTTTGAGCTCATTGTCTATGGCTTAAGGGCCGAGTATCTGGCTTTCTTTTTTATCCATCCTTGTACCAAGTGAGGAATTTTATTTCGAAATGACCATCTATCTTAGATGTATATATTTATATATATATATATATATATATATATATATGTATATATATATATATATATATATATATATATATATATATATATATATATATATATATATATATATATATATATATTCTACAAATCATTTCTACTTTTAACATAAATATTTTATCTCTTCAAATGTTGAATAGATCTTTCAATTCAAAAAATATATATAAATCATAGTAAAAACACCTATTAATAAATGACAAAAGGAGTCCCTTCCTAAAATAAATGAGGAGTTCCTGTCAGTCCCGCATACCGCGTATACTTGTTTTTTACGGATATGCATATAGAGGTTCTAATACAAACGGAATTAATTGATAGCTAGTTAGTTTCCATTTACCTCCTACACAATAAGCAAATATTATTATTTCAATCAAGGATATTTTAACTGCTATTTAAGCCACTGGGGGAATCCTTCTGCCAGTGTTCACCTGTTTCTCAAAGGTGAGTATCCTATCGATAGCTAGATCGAACCCTATATATTGGATAAAGGCAACTTCCGACTTTTCTTTCCTATGTATTTTTTATTTTTTTTTTACTCCTTCTGAAGTCCTACACAGCCCCATTTTTACTTAAACTTTACTTAGCTTGTCAAATAAGACCATCATACTTTATTAGAATGATTCTAAGTCTTAGAGTTTTTTTTGTCGAATAATGAAAAATATTAGGCTTTTATAGTTTTAAAAGTACTTTCAAATAAAAAATAAATGGTTAGAAAACGTTATCATTCATCATAAATAATCATAAGACTCGGCTTGTGGACCAGTTCCTCTCATTTTTTTTTCGTCATTTAAAATAAATTCAATCTAAATTTATTAACATGTTAATAGGTCCTACCTTCTTCAAGAAACCACACCCATTATATCTTATTCTATTAGATAAAAGCAAATAATCTTCAGCTAGCAAGTTATTATTTTATATTTCATTTTTACAGTAAAATCTGAAGAACATGGAGTTGAAGTTTATCCTATTTGCCGCTCTGCTCAGTCATGCTGCTGTGGTAAGTTGTATTTTTCAATTAAAAATTATATAAATGATACACAAGTCAGTTTGAATACCGAAAAATATTTTCAATCATCTATGTGTTTATTAACTTAAAAAAAAAGTGAGAAAACAAATTGTACTTAAAATTTTTTTTTAAATGATAAAAAGGAAAATATCAATCTATTTGTTCCAAAATGTAACCCGTTTTTCGTTTTTTAGGGTACACAGTCCGCCGCAAATCCCAAAGCCAATGCAAAAACGAAGAAGCTGTTGACGGCTTTGAGCAAACTTGGAGACAGGATCCTCTCCGGAGCCTTCGGCGGTTACAACCTCTTCGTTCATGAGGTCGGTTTCTCCATGGATCAAGCAAATGGAATCCATAAATTGACTAATAAGTTCCCCGCTGTCTATGGAATCGACTGTTCGCCAGGTTGGGAGACCACTGAAGAAGGTCATGAAACCGACATCCTCGATTGTTTTAACTCTCAGATTGTAGATTATGCTAAAAAGGGAGGTATCATTACTGCCAGCCACCACTTCCCGAACCCTGTGTTTCCAGGCAACAGAGTACCCGGAAATCAAATAAGTAACAAAAACTTTTCCGAAATTCTCCAGGACGGAACACCGGCGAGAAACAGGTGGTTAAAAATGATGGGAAAGATTGCTGAAGGTTTTCAACGGTACAAGGACGAGGGGATCACCATCTTATACCGTCCCTTCCACGAGATGAACGGAGGCTGGTTCTGGTGGGGAAAAATAGATGACGAAAGCCAAAATGATGAAAGACATCGCCTCTTCAAGCTCCTCTGGCAGGATCTCTTCAACTTCATGAAAAATAAAGGACTGGATAACCTACTTTGGGTCTACTCTCCCGGAGCTTTTAGTGGTTCCTATACCGCCTTCTACCCAGGAGATAACTTCGTCGACATAGTTGGCTTAGACTGGTACACTGATAACGGTGTTACTAAATGTGAAGGTTACGATGAGCTGACTCGCCTAGGAAAGCCTTTCGCATTTGCAGAAGTCGGACCAGCAGGGGACAGTCATGGGAAGCTCGATTTTGGATGGTTTGTCGAAACAATGATATCTCACTACCCGAAGGCTGTATACTTCATGCCTTGGAATGGCATAACTGGTCCCATCCAGAACAAAAACGCCTGGGGAGCTTATAATAATCCTAAAGTGATCAACATGGGGGAACTAAGAGTGTGAGACGTTTTTCTGTAATATCATATATTTTTCTATAATAAAGCTCTTATTCCATTAGAGTGGTCAATTATTAACGGATGCCTTCGTTGGTCTTGAGGTAGTTCCTTTCTTTTCCTATACAAATGATTATTTCTTTATTGAAATCTACTATAAATTCTTAATATCAGATACGATTCAATAAACCATGGCCTAACTAAATATGTATTTACTATAAAATAATAAATTTGTGAGGTGAAATTTAAATTCAAGGAATAAAACTTGCATACTATTAGAATTGTTACTGGAAAAAATCTATATGCATTCGCAGCACACCTTTCGAAATATATCAAGGGACAAGTTGAGCACTAAACATTTTGAACCTTGGTTTGTATGTACTTTTTTTTTTGTCGCATTTCTCTCTATATTTTTTCTGTTATTCATAGGGTTGTACAATGCTAATAATAATGTTTAATAATAGTTTATAAAATAATTGTATAAGTTTAAAAATGAAATGTAACAAAATCATTTTGCAATATAATGTTCAATAAAATGTGCATTAAATAAATTGGTATAATATTACAATTAAATTCTAAACTAAGAGAATAGAATAAAAAAAAAAAAAAAAAAAAAAAATTATATATATTATTATTTTAAAGTTGATACCAACATGACTGATAACTGATAACTAAGAATTTTGATTAAAAAAAATTATTATCCTCTGAAATGAAATTACTAATTAATTATAGTCTGTTTCGAGGAGGTTACGAATTTGACAATTTATATTTTCCCTACCAAGCCATAATATTTACGCCATTATTAAGATTTTTCTAGGATTAAGTAAAGATTTTACATCTCAGGTTATACATTCATCATAACTTGTTCCCAGAAAGATTTCCAATAGTTACTATCCTCAAAGCTACAAGGACTCATAATAACATCCACTTATTTCTTTACATAGTAAACTAATACTGATGAGATCATTGGATTGGTACCGTAGAATAGTGTTGTAAAAAAAAAAAAAAATATATATATATATATATATGTGTGTGTTGTGTGTGTGTTCTGCATGTGTACCATATATATTACGGTACCTAATAATTTACTCAAAAGACTTTTTACAAAAAAAGCCGATTACATTTATATTTTGGTTTACTAATGTTTCTTATTTAGTATAATCACCAACTAAAACGAAGGGCCATTTAATGCTATTCAAATTAACCTGCTATTAAAATATAATGATGTATTTTTTAAATTACAAATAGTACGGAAGCGAAATTTATTTTTATAATTATAAAATAAGTTCACTGGTAATTGATGAATTTAATTGACGAGTAATACAAAAGTCTGGTTACAATGAAAGCAACTCCTCTGAGAGTTGATGGAAATTAAAATCCTTTCTTGGCCTCTCCAGAGCTGGGATTCCTCTCTTGTAAATTAGGCTTCATCTTTATAACCTCTATTAACTCCAATGCTCCTTTCATTAACGATATAATCATAGCAGAAGAATGATTCCCTTTCGGTTCTCTCAATAAAGCATTTCTTGTATAATTTACATCTATTTATTTTACAGGGTCTGCATGCATACCCATCCTGTGAACTATTCACATAAACTGCTTGAAATAATTATTGAATATTTAGTTTGAGAGCCCGTGAGAAAAATGACAGTATCCGATGAAAATATAAAAGTACAGAGAAAGTAGAGGATCGAAGTGGAATATTTATTGCGAAAAATGAGGAAATTTTGTTTATTTTTTCAACGTGTATATATGGGTGTAAAAAACCAAATTACTAACGCGAACCACCAAGGAAAAACTTTTTAAAGCAAAGAAAGCCATATTTTATCAAATTTTTTTTCCTATAACCTCTAAACGGTACATCGAAGTAGGAAAAGCTTTAAGAAATTAAAGAACGTTAAATTGGGCGTCGAATAAATGCATAAATAAGAACTTGGTTAGGTGGAATGGTTGATAACCACGGTCAACCAGCCTGATTTTTATTCAAATTAGTCTAAAACTGATACAAACTACAATAAATGGCGTCGGCTTGGAAATGTTTCTCTAAAAACAAAACTCATAGAATAAAAGTTGTAGAGCATCGAATTCCGCGGACTTTCGGAGTAATTCTCTAATGTTTTTTCCTTCCCCAAATTAAATACCTTTCTCATCAACATTATTATCCACAACTCTTTTATTTCTAATCCCTTTCCAAATAAAGCAAAATCAGGTTCTGATCATCTATCTGATGACTAAAGGAAGTACTTAAATAAAACGGAGATACGTTTTTCAAAAATGAGGATGTACTCTTCAATTTCTCGCACATTCGTAAAAGGAATATAAATAGATTCCGTTGTTTTAGGAAACAAATCATTCCGAAATTTAAACGGGCACAACATTCAATATCTTGTAATGGTGATTCCATTTTCTTCTTCGTGGTAGTTTCCAAAATTTTATTTATTTAATAAAGGTTTGATATTCGTCACACCTCTACAGGTTTGAAATGAAACCTGAGTTTTTTATGTTTTATGTATATATATATACATATTTTATCTATGTATATGTAATTTTATACTTGCATCGCAATAGAATTTTTGTTTAAAATGTTCTATATTTGAATTCCTTATATTACCATGGGGCAAATAGCTAGTTACTTTACATTCACCTCATAAATAATGCAAAAATACACACATGTGTTCTTGAACATTTGTCATCCACTGAGAACAACTGTATTTATTGCTATATAAAGCGCTGAGGGTTACCCTGTTGTCAGCATTCTACTGTTTTTCCTAAGGTGAGTATCCTGTTGATAATTCAACTAATCTATTTGATTTATATCAAACCATTTTCATACTTTTATAAGAAAATCCTAGTTTGTAAAATCTGTACGTTTCATCGGGTTCTGTAAAAATCTACCATTGTAAAGTATTTCCATTTACCTAAATATATATTTCATTATTAGACATTTATAGTCTCATAAATGTCTTGCCAGTCTGATACTCGAAGTCCTCAAGCAGCCATGATACCCTCCAAATCCTCCAACTATCCTTTCTATAATCTTCCTCGTTTTCGGATCTCAATTAGGCGATTTAGTCCAAGAGCCTTCGAAAAAAAAATCGACATCATTTGATAAAAACTTTGCTTCCTGTAAAAATGTCGGCTAATTTAAAGAATATTAGACCAGCAATTGGGGATCGAAACTAAAAATCATCCATTCATTGCGAAAATATGGGTGTTTTTATTTTTTTTACTTGTATATGTGGGTTCCGACATCAAAAGAAAAAAAAATCAATTTTCAGATTTTGACCGTCTTGAACCACAACATATGAATGATAATTTTCGTTTTCTTTGTCAATAATTAATATTCAATATTGCATCTAAAAAAAAAATCGATCACTGAAAAAAATCGTAAAAAAAGTTTCATTTTTCACATAAATGATCGAAATATGGGTTAATAGAAACTTTATCGGTTGCCATTATGAAACGGGTTGGTTATATTAAGTTTCATCCTGATGGACCCCATTAATGATAAATTGTTGAAGGTGGTTGGTGAATATAATATATTTTTGTTAGATAATTTTTATCCTGAAATGAAAAACCTCAAATTTTGAATTCATTATTGAAAATATTAAATCAAAATTACATGGGAAATAAATAAAAAAAATTCTTGGTTCGTTTGTTAATAATTAGCTCAAGAAGAGAGTACACTTTATTTTATTCTGTATTACTTTGCCAATGAATATGTCCTCACTTTTTAAAATGTTTCTTTAAAATTGAATATATTTAATGATACCGCATGTTACCGTGTCTCCATCGATTACAACTATTTTTAAAAATATATGTTTTCTTCTCAATTGACCGCAATAATGACAAACGAAGTAAAAGCCCCTTCATAATACAAATTATACATATAATTGACTTTTTTTTTTTGGTGTGATGTTATGTCACATATAATTTATTTATTTTTACAGGACAGTCTGAATAAAATGACGATAAAGTACTTACTATTCGGTGTTCTGCTGTGTCATGCGGCTATGGTAAGAACTTTAAGTTTAATGATTTTACATTGTTGTTCATATATTTTATTGAACTTACTAGAAAAAAACAAAACAATCATGTTCTAAAGTGAGTCTGAACGATTAAAGCCCTTTTAAATTCTAGAGCGTCCAGTCCACAGCTAACGCTGGAGCCAACGCAAAAACAAAGCAGCTATTGTCAACTCTGGGAAATCTAGGAGGTAAGGTTCTTTCTGGAGTTTTTGGTGGCTACAACAACCACGGTGGTGAAATCGGATTCTCCTTGGACCAAGCTGTCCTTATCAAGGAATTGACCAGTAAGTCACCGGCCGTCTATGGGATCGACTGTTCCCCTGGCTGGCTGACCGCTCCTGCCAACCATGAGGCCGACATCATAGAATGCATGCACCCTCAGGCAGTAGAATATGCCAACAAGGGCGGTTTCATCACAGTCAGTCACCACTTGCCAAACCCCCAGTTTGCAGGAAACAACGCAAACGGAGAAGGAGCCTTCAAGACCGAAATTAGCAACAGCGACTACGCAGCCATTCTCCAGAACGGAACTCCCCAAAGGACGAGGTGGTTGAACATGTTGGAAAAGATCGCTAAAGGTCTTCAAGGCTACAAGGACCGCGGAATCACCGTACTCTACCGTCCACTCCACGAGATGAACGGAGACTGGTTTTGGTGGGGAGCATTGAAAGATCAAAACCAAAACGGAGAGAGGCAGCGTCTCTTTAAGCTTCTGTGGCAGGATCTGTTCAACTTCATGCAGAAGAAGGGACTAGACAACCTCCTTTGGATCTTTTCCCCCGATCACGGCAGATCTCACAAGACAGGTTACTACCCAGGTGATAACTATGTCGACATCGTTGGCTTGGACTGCTACACCGATGACCCCACAAAAATTAACGGCTATGATGAGATGACCGGCCTCGGTAAACCTTTCGCCCTCGCCGAAGTGGGACCTAGTACAGCCAATGGTCAGTTCGATTACGATTGGTTCGTGAAATCAATTGTATCTCTCTACCCGAAGACTATTTACTTCATGCCATGGAATGCTGAATGGAGTCCTGCTAAGAACAAGAACCCATGGGGTGCTTACAATAACGCCAAAGTGCTAAATCTGGGAGACTTACGCATCTAAACTTCTGCGATTGAAGAAAGTATAAATTGTACATTTAATTGAAATAAATCTACCAACTTATACCAATTATGAAATTAAATTAATCATTAACCTTCTACTATTCTCATTCGACACTTATCATTCTTTTTTGTGTCTTGATCATTAATATTAATATAATAATAAAGCAAAATATAAAATTATATTAGTCCATAGTTCTAGCGAGAAATACTTGCCTTACTTATCTGTAAGTGAAATGTAGTTATTTGACCCATTAAAAGCATTCGATTTTATGTTTAAAAGTGTTCAAGTAAAAGTACTCGTGTTTTTAGCAAACATCGCTACAATAAATGATTGCGAAGTTTTAATTTTTTTTTTCAATGAGATAGCATTGCAAAAATAAATATAAATGCATAAACATACATTTTGTTTCTTTAAATAATGTCAAAATAATAATTTTTTAATTATTTATTATCTAAAGTAATTATTTTTTTTTTTTTTTGGTTTCTATCTGTTTATTGAGTAATAATAAATTTACATGAAAACTAGCTGAAAACAATTACATAACATGTAATATTAAAACAAGAAATAAAAGCTTTGTAACAATTTATTGCAGTTCTTTTTGCTGAAAACACAAATACTTTTAGATGACAAGATATAAAATTACATCGAATTTTTTTAATTGATGTAAATCCCAATTTTTTCCCATAATAAAGCTAACGTAACTAATATGGACTTAAAGCTTATTAAACGAGAAAATTTTATAAAAATAGGGTATCTGTAGTATAGTTGAATAATAATAATAAAAAATTTTAAATACGCGAATAATGAATGATTTTTTCAAAAGCTGAACTATGCTTAGTTTATCCGCTCCAAAACTATCTTTAAATGTTTTTAACAATGGCAAACTCTAGTTTTATTTAAAGTATGTTGTATCTACATTGTAGCTTACATTGAAGTAGTTAGTTATTATTATTATTATTTATATTAACACGGAGCTACAACACGGTGACGAGTCTCCAACAGCTTCCTCGAGTCATCTCTGTTCTGTGTGGCCATCATCCAGCTCCTGGCTTCCAGGGCATCCCTTGAATCTCTTGCCACCCCTTCTGACCATCTTAGTTTTGGTCTCGCTCATCCTTGCCACATGGCCAGCCCATCTCGATCTTCCAAGCTTCATCCTCAGAACGACATTTTGATCATTAAAAGTTGAGTGAATTTCGGTATTTTTCCCTCTTTTCCAATTTCCATCAATCTGTACACCTCCAAATATTCTTCGAAGAATTTTTCTCTCAAAGATTAGGAGGTCTTGCTCAATTTCTTTAGTCGTCGTCCAGGTTTCTGAAGCATAGAGCAGGACTTATAGAGATGCAACTTAGTGTTTTATAGAGTTGCAAGTTAGTTATTACTTCAATTAAATATGCTTTTAGTTAGTGATCTCTATTAAAAAAAAACTCAAAACTTAAATTTCCAACTTTTCTGCAAAATATTAGACCAATGCTTATACAAACTTCGATACAAAATTCTAGCTCTTTCGATCTGCCATCTCCCACATAAATATTTCCCTCTCTTAGTGAATACCCGGATTATTGATTATAAATTTATCTAACAATTACATAAAATTTGTATCAATACAAAAAAATTCCAAAATCATTAAAACATCGATAAGATTGACGTTGAGCAGAAAAAATATGTTATTACTCGATCAATGTATTTGTATTCTCTACAAAAAAAATAAAAACAGATAAGAATAAAATAGAAATTACTGACCCACCATACCGTAAATAATGGAATTGTTAGTTGTTAGCCAAGTTCAGACTATTCTGTACAAGTTTTTCAATACTTTCATTTCACCTGCTAGCTTACGATATTAATTAACGCCCCAAAAATATGGATCTCAATAGATTTTATTCAAACATAGGAATAGGTGGTGTTAGTTTCAGGCTCTAGAAGATGATAAAAAACTGTATTATGAGCATATCTTGTCCTTTAAGTACACTGTCTGCTAACATTACCGTAACTTACTGGAAGGATAATTAACTTATTTACTTAAGAATTGACTTTATTGAAGAATACTATAGAAACAATAAATTCTTCAAAGCTGTATAGATAGTCTTGTTAAGGAAAAAAACGATATTTAACTGCTTGGTAAAAAATTAGTTATTTAATAATGGTAATTTGCTTTCCCTCCACATGTGGAGGGATAAGTATGGTTCGGAGTTCCCATGGCCGACTGTAAATAGTATAAATAGGTATGCCTGCATCTAAGATGTTTATTTTCATTACTTATTTATTACCATTAAAAAATAATGGTAATAAATATTTTTCAAGATTTTAATATACGCTTGTATAATATCGGCAATACCAAGTAATATAATCAAATCAGGTGCCATTTAAAATAAAAACCAGGGCATGAAATAATTTTTTTTTGTTTTAACAGTTCTGATATGATCGTATTTTTAACTTCTGTGCCATAGCTTATTTTTGACACTGAAACTATTTTCATATGAAATTTTCAATAAGGTTTTTATAGAATGTTTATTTGAAAAAAAAATGTATTTGAAAGATTTGTCTAAAAGATTAATTTAGCAAAAACTAAAGCCATATGTATGATAATTTTACAATACATTCATGAATAAGTCACTCAAATAATATAAATGTAAAAATCAAGAAATTCATTAAAGAAAAGTTATACCAGTAATATGAGTTCAGTCACTTTTTTATTTCTCATACGATTTTTTTTAATTACATAAATAAAAATATGTTTTTAAAATAAACTAAGAACTTTATTCATTTTTCAAAACTTGTTTATTGATAAATATTCTGTTTCAAACAAAAAACTCTATAGAAAAAAAGTTCTTCAGACGTTTTATTTCTACTTTTTTTTTTTTATCTTTTTTATTTTTAGAGTCATTCTGAAACTGATAAAACGGAATTTAAAAAAAAAATCGATAAAAACTATTCCAATGCTAATAATTGTTTGGATCTTTACGTCCCAAACAGGCCCTCTGAGATAATATGGTCAATATTATTGAAGAAATTTGCATTTTAGATCTCGTTGTTTGTAAACATTCAATGAAAGATAGCTGAACAAATATTGTTATATCAGCACAAATGTTTAGTTTTGAAATTCAATAAGCAAAATTAGACAATGTGATCGGTACATATCTGAAACTTCTTAATTAAAGCCATGTATAATACATAAGTACATACAGGTGAGCCCGTTCCAGGTACCACAGCGAAGTAACGTACGTAATAGTTACATGCCAGCTCAAACCATTTACGTAATAGTAACATGCATAAGCACTCATGCGTCATCGCTAGCGTCATTAATAAATTTGGTAGAGGTTTATTTGGAAACAGAATGATGCTATATCTATTACGTCCTTACCAAATGATGTATTGATAGTAAATGGAAGTGATTTGATTAATTAATCTATGATTCAGATACTCGGGACCAATGTACCAGCAAGTGAAAAGAATCTATAAGAAGAATTGGGATAATTAGGTCTTAAATTCTAAAACCAAAATAACTTGACATATCCTTCTTGTGGTTTGCACAGAAAAGCAATAGTATTTATTTTCCAAGAATAAGATAGGTTTTTATAACCTGGTGCCCGCGAGCAAGATTGAGCCTGTCAATGTCTTATATTATCTATATGGGAAGCCACCCTGCTCTAGTTTTCATTAAAATATTTTGTCTATATTTATATAAATATCTAACACTAAAGAGTATAAGTATGAGGGATTGCTTTGAAAATATTAATTGATTTAATTCATGGCATTTATCCTTTTTTATTATCATTTTACGTGATATGCTGTCGATTAAAGAATTTTCGATTAAAATATTTTACAACTTTTTTCTTCTAAATTATATAAAGAGTTTTCCGTAGTTAGAGAAAAATTTGATAGAAGTGATAGCGGAATTCAAGAGCTACAAAAAAGTTCATATAAACAATAGGCCAATTTTCAGCAGGGAGTAGCAAATCCAGGTTTAGTGTTTTTTAAGCAACTCGTGATTTTTGATGAATGGGAAACGATAACTAAATAAATATTTAATTTAAGTTATAAAAAATTGCTTCAATGTAAATTAGATAAAATTTACTTCAAAGAAAATGGAGTTTATTATTATTATTTATTTATTTAGCAACCCTGCCGTGCCTAGTAGGCAATACGGGTGTCTGCAACAGTAAGATGTTAGGCAGGTCAGCTTAACATCTCACTGCTGCAAATGAATCTTGTTCTTCTGCTCTTCCTTCATGGTTGCTTTTCTCATCCGTTTCCCGCCAATAGTGTAGTACCTCTTCCTCCTCTTCTTAAATTAAAATGGGCTGACCCCACCGCGACTTTCCACCCGTACACAAAATCTTTGTAGTACGGGTAGTTTTCCGCAGTGACTAACTGAGGAAAATCGTTCTCTGTGAGAATGTAGAGACCGGTTTCCCTCAGTAACTTAGTCCTTAGTTCTTCAAAGGCAGTGCAGTCCACTATGATGTGCTCAGCAGTCTCCGGAACACCGCAGCTAGGGCAAAGGGGGTCGATGTCCATCCCATGGCAATGAAGCTTAGCTCGAAAGCCCCCATGGCCTGTGAGAAATTGCTAATAGTCCGGGACGATCCACCTTGCTTCTAAATGTGACCGGACGGTGGGGAAGTACTTCCTCAAGGTAGATCCTTTGGGGGTTATCACCCACCGCCGGTTCCATTCCTCTAATGTGTCGTCCCGTATAATGTTTTTCCATTTGCAAGGATTCTCGTCAATTCTCACCTTAAAATGTTCCGGTAGACCTGCTGAGCCGTTTTTCTTAAACATGTGCTTCATCATATCTTCTCGCAGGAGAAGGTCGAGAGGTACACCTCCTGCTAATACCTGCACCGCCTCATGGGATACGCTTCGATACTCCCTGGTAACCCGCAGCAATGCCGTTCGCTGTATTGTCGCCAACTTACTCTTCTGTCGGTGCGAGAGGTTATGGTTCCAGGCGGGAGACGCATACCTCATGATACCCAGAATCACTCCCTTAAAAATTGTTAAGGTTGCTGGGTATCTGAGGCCCCAGAAAGCGCCCCCAATCCGACTGAGACCGTTCAAAGATAGGGCCACCCTGTTTTTAA